GCTGCTGATGGGTTAAGGACCTTCTACGACCCTATCCAGCTCTCAGAGTAACTACCTGTCTTCTGGTATCTCTTCCATGCTTTTGGGTCTGTGCTGAGAGGCACAGCAAACCTTCTGGCAATGGCACGTATTGACATGCCATCCTGGAGGAGTTGGACTGTCTGAGCAACCTCTATAGGGTCCAGATATCGCCTCATGCTACCAATAGTGACACTGACCCTAGCCAAATGCAAAACTAGTGAAAAACAGTCAGAAAAGATGAGTAGGGAAAAAAATTTCAGTGGCCTCTACCTGTAAAACCATTCCTGTTTTGGGGGTTGTCTCATTGTTGTTCATCTACTGCACCTGTTGTTAATTTAATTTAGCACCAAATCAGCTGAAACTGATTAACAACCCCCTCTACTACTTAACTGACCAGATCAATATCCCAGGAGTTTAATTGACTTGATGCTATACTCTGATTAAAAAGTGTTCCTTTAATTTTTGTGAGCAGTGTATATTTGAAAATTGTTGTACTGATGGCTAATCTCATTTTTTGAGACCCTAAAATGCCAGGATAGTACAAATATCTCCAAAATGACCTATTTTTGGAAAGTAGACAGTTCGAGGTATTTAGTAGGAGGCATGGTGAGATTTTTGTAATTAGTTGTAATTTTTTGTCACAATTTTTTGAAAAATAAAGAGGTTAAAAAAAAATCACAATTTTTTTTTCACATACTGTCACCCCTTAAAATTAAAAAGATAAATGCGGAACTCTCTTTACATCTAAACCAAATCATAATAAATGCATGTAACATAAACGCATGTGCTAATGTATTAAATGGAAATACAACCCCAAGTGTTATATAATACACTAAATAGTAATTCAACAAGTGACAGTAAAGCAAATCATTCAATTTAATCAATCTGTGACATTCCAAACAAATCCTCCTTGGTGCAGCACATGCATCTTCCCATACGTGATTAACTGAATCTATATTAACAACCTTCATGCAAACGTGACTCCCATCATCTGAATGATACTGCGCTCACCTCCGTAATTAGACCCAAGAACATACTTTATTAGGTCTAGATGCACTTTTCCCTTAAGGGATAAATATGAGGTAAATGGTCTGCTTCTTGGGAAAGTGGACAATCTTTTCCTCCCTGGATTTATAGACACTCACTCTATAGTACACAATAAATGAGTATGAATGGAAGGCATTCATTGTGTACAATAGCCATATAATTAGCTGTAATTGGTCACAGTGATCACATGGTACCAGCAGCGGCCCGGTACATTGATCTGTCATCCAGTGGGCACAGCAGGTTACAGATCATGCTGCAGCGCTGCCTGATCCTGGGAGGACGTCATATGACGTCCACCTAGAACAAGAGAGATCCTGCCCAGCTGTCATATTATAATAGGCCGGGTCCACAGCGGCGGACTGACAACTCATCCCCGGGCAATAGGGGATCATGGGGCCCCTGTGTCCTTGCCCAAACTCAAAAAAGCCTATGAAAAAGGTACCAGGGCCATCTCATGGGGCCCCCTACTGACCCCGGGCCCTCGGACAGTGCCTGAGTTTCCAAATAGTCAGTCCGCCCCTGGGCCGGGAGAGAGGCAGTTTACAGCATTTTCACTGTTTGTGCCCTTGAGGTACTGAGGAGGAGTTGACAGACAGGGTTCACTTTGCCAAACATGGGAAACCTTAGACACTGTGTGCATCTGTGAAATGGCAAAAGACTACAATACCCCAAATTATCCAATTGTTACATGAGCTGGAGGGTGGGGAATGACCTAGCCCATGGCACATTGGGGTTCAAGAAAGTGCGAGTTTGGGATACAGTTGAGCTTGGAAGGTACCCAAGCTCATCTCTGTTTTAGGAGCAATGTTGAGGATCTAAACCTTCTCGACTCTATCCAAGACTAGCAAAAAAGTTTTGGCTAGAGCTTGACTTTTTTTTACACAAAGGAGAGGAGATGAAAGTTCATGACCTACAAATTTCCAGTCCAGGAAATAGGTTTAGTAAGAACCCAATGATTACACAACATGCAGGGCCCTAACGAAAACCCAGGATAGTAAGCCTTTGTCGCCTGTAAGAATTTTCATGTTTGGCTTGAGCGTAGCTAGAAGTCTATTGCAAATTAATACAAACATTCCATACTGTCATAGGATTTGCATTTTATTTGAATGAGTTAAATAGCTCCATGCAATTTATTGTCCCGAGTACTTGTATGGTGTTGGGCAGTGAATGAACCACATGCAAACTACTTGTCATTTGAGGTGTACTTGTGCATCTGTTTACATGTCAGATGTGACTTTTATGAGGTCACTATGGGCTGGTGCACGTTCATTTCTGCTGATGATATTAACATGTTAAGATGCAAATGTAGAAGTTGGGTTTTAATATATAGAGGCTGGGTTACATAGATATAAAGTAATTACAGTATAATGAAAGTTTTCGTTTTGGATAGATTGTAGATGGATTATAACACCTGTCAGTTTTTATTACTCTCTGTGCCCCCATTAACCACTTGTCCTCCAGAGGATTTACCCCCCTTAATGACCAGGCCTCTTTTTGCTACTCGGCGCTGCACTAATTCAACTGATAATTGCGCGGTCATGCAATGCTGCACCCAAACAAAATTTACATCCTTTTTTTCACACAAATAGAGCTTTCTTTCGGTGGTATTTGATCACCTGTGCGCTTTTTATTTTTCACGCTATAAACAAAAAAAGGCCAAAAATTTTGAAGAAAAACTATATTTTTTACTTTCAGCTATAAAAAAATATATAGTAAACTATAGTAAAGTTGGTTATAAATTTAGGCCAAAATGTATTCTGCTACATGTTTTTGGTAACAAAAATCCCAATAATTGTATATTGATTGCTTTGTGTGAAAGTTATAGCGGCTACAAACTATGGTAAAGATACTGCAATTTACACCTTTTTTTTGCTATACAGCGCTGCGCTAGTTTAACGGACAATTGCGCGGTCATGCAATATGGTACATAATTGGAATTTACATCCTTTTTTTCCCCAGAAATTGAGCTTTCTTTTGGTGGTGTTTGATCGCCTGTGCGGTTTTTATTTTTTGTGCTAGAAAAAAAAAAAGGCTGACAATTTTGAGAAAAAAAACAATATTTTGGACTTTTTGCTATAAAACATGTCCAGTAAAAAAAAATTTAAAAATCAAATTTAGTCATAAATTTCGACCAAAATGCATTCTGCGACATGTCTTTGCTAAAAAAAAAAAAAAACCCAATACGTGTAAATTAATTGGTTTACGTGAAAGTTATAGCGTTTACAAATGGCGGGAAAGATACTGGGATTTTTAGGCTTTTTTTATACTAATAATGGCGGGGATCAGCGACTTAAGGCGGCGATCAGCGACTTATGGCGTGACTGCGGCGGACATTCTGACATTGGGGGGTACTGACTTGGGGTCACTGACATCCCCAGTGACACCAATACAGTAATCAGTGCAAAAAAAAAACCACACTGACACTGTTACTAAGGCAAAGGGTTAACTGGGAGGGGAGTGTTTTAGGGGGCGGGGGTGTGTTGCAAGTTTATTCAGGGAAAAACTGCTGCCCGAGCTGTGCTCTCTGGAACTCAGCGATTGCCGCCGATTGCGCCGCCGGGACATAGCCGGTAACGACCGGCTGTGACCCGGCGACTGACATCCGCGGCTTTGATCGGCGGGACAGGTAGGGTGGCGGCGCACCTCGCACGTGCCCCTACCTGTTTTAAAAACACACGTTTTAAAACGTGCTTTTGCCCAGCCGTGCCGCCCTGCTGCCGTATTTCTACAGTGGCTGGGCGGCATGTGGTTAAAGAGATCCCCCCTCTCTATTTGTCCTGTTTACCATTATCATTGAAAGTTACAGTAAAAAAAAAAAAATCCCAAATTTTAAGTCGTCCCCAGAAAAGTAATTGGAAGTCTTTCAATGTTGACACTAGTTCTGGTGACCTGGAGGCCCTTAAGGAATTCCCTTAATTTGCAGGGATTTCCTTTCACTTACTGTTTGGCTATATGACAGGAAATGAAGGGAAATCTCTGAAATTGGACACATAACAAAAAAAAAAAATCTGCCGGGTTATGACCCTCCCTTGCTCATCTAAAATGAGTTTTACCTATAGTTCTACTTTAATGATTAAAAGCTAAACTCCAAACGAAAAAAGAAATACAATTATGATTTAACCTCTTCCCGTCCGCTCATTGCATATAGACGGTGAATGGGAAGCTTTGCTGATGCGGGCTAATGTACCTGTATGTCAGCCTGCATCGGTGGCTCCTGCACAGCTCACAGAGTGCACACCTGGGAGCCCGGCGATCGGGGTGTCCACAGTACACGGCAGATCACATTACCGCTGTGTCTGGGTGATCACCTGGTTTTTTGCCATGTGACTGCTGTAACCAATCACAGCCGTTACATTGCAAACATGGGAATGCGAAACTAAAGATTACTTCTTTCTGCTCTCAATGCGTGAGCAGAGAGAAGCGATCCTGCAGTATGTGAGTGTACAGCCACCTGTCCGGCAGCTTGTACACTTGCAGACTGCAGTGCCCCAGTTTAGTGCCCCAGCGTCTCTGATCATTACCCCAGTATTTTCATAAATAATGCAGCCAGCCCGTCACCTGTCCCAGTGTGCACAAAAAACACCCCCATACACCATAACAATGTCCTGATCACCACCATACCAGTGTCCTGATCACCGCCATACCCCAAACTAACACCCTGATCACTGCTATATGCCATACCAACACACTGGTCATCGTCATACTCCATACCGGCATTCTGATCACCGCCATACACCATACCAGCATCTTGATCACTGCCATACCCCAAACCAGCCTCCTGGTCACTGCTATACTCTATAACAGTATCCTGATCACTGCCATACCCAAAACCAACACCCTGATCACTGCCATATGTCCTACCAGTGTGCTGATCAGCACCATACTCCATACCAGAACCCTGATCAGAGCCATATGCCATACCAGCACGCTGGTCACCGTCATGCCATACCAGCATCCTGATCACCGCCATACCCCATACCAGCATCCTGGTCACCGCCATACCCCATAACGGTGTCCTGATCACCACCATACCCCATACCAGCATTCTGATCACTGCCATATTCCATACCAGCATCCTGAGCACTACCATACCCTATACCAGCACTCTGATCACCGCCATATGCTATACCAGCACCCTGATCATCGCCACACACCATACCAGCATTCTGATCACCGCCATACTCCATTCCAGATTCTGTTCACTGTCATGCCCCATACCAGCATTCTGATCACCCTGTATGCCATACCAGCGTTCTGATCACTGCGATACCCCATACCAGCATCCTGATCACCCTCATACCCCATACTAGCGTTCCAACTACTGCCATACCAGCGTCCTGCTCACCACCATACCTCATGCTAACATCCTGATCACTGCCATACCAAAGTCCTAATCACTACCATACCTCATACCAGCGTCCGGCATTTTAGGATCTCAACTGATCATTTTTCAGATATATATCCCATAGTTTGCAGACCCTATAGCTTTCACACAGAATAAATAATTTACACTGTTTGGGTTATTTTTACCCCAAAACTGTAGCAGTATACATTCTGACCTAAATTTATGAATAAAAATAATTTGCTAAATTTTCGGTATTTTTTCATTTATATAGCAAAAAATAAAAAATCTAGTGGTGATCAAATACCACCAAAAGAAAGCTCTATCCGTCTCAAAAAAGGATCACAATTTCTTATGGGTACAGTATTGCACGACTGAGTAATTGTCACTCAAAGTGTAATAGTTCTAAAAGCTGAAAATTAGCCTACACTGGAAGGGGTGAACTTCAAGTGGTTAAAACAATAAATGTATTTTTCATTTCCACTAATATCATTTGTCCTGATCTTAGTCTTCTTTATACCCAGGAATAGGAGCACTAAAGCAGCATTTAGTCCCAGTTCACACTAGTGCAACTTCTGATGAGTTGGATAGAATCGTATAACAAGGAAAATGTAAATGTTTTCAATGGTGTCCGTTATAGTCAATGCGGCTCAGCACACTGCGACTTTGCATAGAGCAGCCCCAAACCTTCTCTTCTGGGGTCCCCTGCCATCGCTGCCTGCTCCTCTTCTCCATTTGCCCCATAGCAAAGCACTTGCAATTGGGGCAGATGCTGAGCCAGGCTATGTGCATCTGTAGACACATATAGCACTGCTTGGGCCCTCCCCATCCCCTTGCTCCATTCTCAAAGGATTTGACGGACAGCAGTAGGAGCCAAAGTCGCAATGCATAGCCTGAATCAAGCCTTAGTCCCTTTATATAATAAAAATGATTGTTTGTAAATACAGGTAGTATAAGTTTACTTTTTAACAAAAAATTATAGATGAACTTTTTTTTTTTTTTGCAGGTAAAAATATGCATTTAGGTTTTTTTTTTTTTTTTCATTTTGGGAGCCTGGAAAGCATTGTCCTCCTTGATCAGGAGATCGCTGGTGCAATGCAGGTGTACTGCAGACTGTCAGTGTAATCTGTCTGTTTTATGCTGACAGGAAGAATCAATGAACTGCAACAGCGCCGTGATGGTTTTGCACAGAGCAGCCCCAAACCTCCTTTTTTGGGGTCCCTCGCCAGCGCTGCCTGCTCCTCTTCTCTGTTTGCCACATAGTAAAGCGCTTGCTATGGGGATAGATGTGCAAGCTTAATGCTGAGCCAGGCTGTGTGCATCTGTAGACACATACAACACTCCTCGGGCCATCCCCATCCCCTCTCTCCATCTTCACAGGATTTGACTGACAGCAGCAGGAGCCAATGTCTCTCTTTGCTGCCGAGTCTTCTGTGAGAAGAGCGAGAGGTGAGACGAGCTGCTGCGGATGTTTCCAGTCTCCTGGTGCTCCAAGGCTTCCAAAAATGTGATAAGTAATCAGTAAATTAGATGCGTAATTTACGTGCATTTTATACTTGTGGTACCCCTATATTCAAGAGGCATAGCAGAATGTGTTCTTGGGTGGTATTATAAGTATGCGTGAGACGTAACTTTAAAATTACAACTTTCAACATTGCGAAAACAAAAAAAAAATTCTTCTTTTTCCAAAAAAGTTGTGCCAAAAAATGACTGTTTAAAAAAACTCACCATGCCTTTTACTAAACACCTTGGACTGTCTGCTTTCCCAAATGGGGTCATATGGGGATATTGGTACTGTCCTGACATTTTAGGGCATCAAGAAATGAGATAGGCAGACAGTACATCGGAAGCGATAACTTTTCAGATATACTGTATGTCCCGTAGTTTGTAGACTCTTTCACACAGACTAAATAATAAACACTGATTTGGGTTATGATTGCAAAATGGTATAATAATATAAAAGATTTCATTTTTTTTTCATTATATGTCAATTTTTTTTTTTTCAATCAGAAGTAACGTTTATTAATGGTGAAGTCATACATTTTCAAAATGACAAAGCATGTATAGAATGGTAGCAAAGACTTAATCCTTAACAAACCAAACAACATAATGAAGAAAACCTTCCAGTGCCATCAATAAGACAAGAATTGAAGAGTCTGTGCAAAATTATAGAGAAAACACATTACAATACAATCAAATGGTAAGGCAATTTTGCGCATATTGGACAATAGGAGTATAAAAGTGGACCCGCTGGAGACAGAGAGCACTCCTCCCCCATCAGGGAATACAGGAGAGATATAAAGTGGTTTTGAGAAAGTGATTATCAAAGTACAATCAGATGTAACTACAGCAGTCTGTCCATTATTAAATCAAAAGGGGCCAGACCTGGAGTAGCCAACCAAGCATCCCAAAGTTTCTCAAATGTACCCAAACATCCTCTATGTTGGTAAACTAAACAGTCATGTCGTAAAAAATTTTCCATATTTGCTTCCAATCGGCAACAGTGGTGGGAGTATCAGAGGTCCAGCGCACCAGAATCGCCTTGTGTGCCTGGAACAAGGCCTTAGAAAGGGCTTCTAGTATAAATGTATCTTGTGTTACCGAATCTAAATACCCAAAAGGTACTGCTTAGGATCCAGAATTAAGTTAGTTTGAAACACAAAATTAAGGGTAGTTACCACCTTCTCCCAATACCTGCAAATTAAATTATTAAATACTGCCAAAGGAAAGCTCTATCTGTCTCAAAAAATACTATTTTTGGGTGTTTTTTGCATTTTATCTTTATTAGTGTTTTACGAAATTTTACAAAACGAACCAAATATATCAAATACAATATTTTTGATACAAAAGAAACAAAAAGCAAGCACACTTCCAGCTATACATTCCAAGTAGACAAGAGATCAGAATGCGGGGTCCCCAGGGTAGGGGTAGTCCTACAAAGATATGTGAACTCATGTGGAGAACATATTCAAACAGTTGCGTAAGACCATGTCTAGCATAGACTCCTCTATAATGGGAATTGACCCATGCCAGAGGCCCCAGAGTTTAGGTAATGTAGGAAAGCCCAAGTTTAGAAGAGAGAAAAAAGTTAAAAAAAAAGGATACAGTGTTGCATAGCTGAGTAATTGTCATTCAGAGTGTGACAGCTGGGGGTGAAAGGCTGGGCAGGAAGGGGGCGAAAGTGTCTAGTATTGAGGTGGTTAAGTGGGGGGGGGGTCGCGGGGGTGCTGGGGGGGGGAGCAACATTTGGAAGGTTTTTACCTTAATGCAGAGGATGCAAAAAACAACTTTTTGCCTCTGCGTAGAACCACTTTAATGTTTACACTCTGGTCTCATTAACACTTTTATGTGGCATTTTCTGCTAGAGTGATAGTTATTACCTCTTCTTAGGGATATAGGCCCCTCACCTCATTTGTTCCATAGTATAAGATTACAGTGTAGCCTAAAGATAGATGTGTCACAGCAGCTTGTATCAGGAGCAAAGTCTCTTATTTCAAGTTTTATGTTCCGAAAATCAGTATTTTGGAATCCCAATGGATTGTTCCGTATATTAAAGCCCTCGTGGGCATTTCAGAAGTAAATAAAAGAAATGGACTAAACAGCTACAATATATTTGTGTATCACTTTCTACAGTGTTACTGCTTAGAGGACTATTAATAGACTTTCTATAGTATTCTGATTACTTCACAGCAGGCAAGGTTATCGCTACCTCACTGTTGACCTTTACTTGCCTGAAATTACTTGATTCCTCCCACAGATTTATACACTTTTTAATTTGACTTGCATCAGGACTTCTGAGTTATTTAGTTTTTTGGGGTTTTTTTAGTTGTGAATCATAATGACCCAGTTAAGTCCTTATGGGGTCATTTGTGATCAATACTCTTGGACCTTAAATTACTTAAATGCTATAAGTGGTGAAGGACCACTGTGGCAGAAAATAATTGTATTCTGTTAACTGTAGGGGGTTAATACTTGCAATAATATTATTCAGTATATTAATTCTTATTTGTAATTTACACCTCTATATTTATATTTTAATCTAACTTTACATGCAGACCGAGCATTCCAGCAAAAGTGACTGTTACAGGGGTTGGGACAAACTGTAAAACATGGTGGGGGTGCTTACATCAGTTCACATTATTTCATGTGGTTTACAACTTTTTTCAAAAGGAATTACCTGTTGCTGTAACGTTTTCTGTTTCAATACATTTTTATTGAACAATATAAAATACAAACACACCCAAATCCATACCTCTGCTCAAGACTAGCTCTTTTTTGTAGGGAATTGCCAGCTGAACAAAATGATATCTGGATCATGGCTGCATTTTCGTTCCTTCTCTAAAGCTGGCTACACACAGTTTTATTTTGTTCAGCCAGCAGGTTGAATGAAGAAAGATTGACAGACCCTTGCATCATCACAAGTGATGTTGATACAGGGATCTATCCCGCTGAAACATACTATTCTGACAGTGAGACTAACCCCCTGCCAGATAACACTGATCAGCACTCGCAGCCATTGCCTGAAATTAGACCGGCTTCTGTTGAACAGACACCTGTACACACGGACTGAAAGTCGGCTTATTCCTGTTGAACCAGTTTTCGGCCAATCTGTACAGGGCTTAAGATAATGAATTTTTGGAATTAGGTTACCAGCCCTGTTGATATGATGACCTGACCCTCATAGGTTTCTAAATGACCTGACCCTTGTGGGTTTCTAAATGACCTGACACTCGTGTGTTTCTAAATGACCTGACCCTCATAGGTTTCTAAATCACCTGACCCTTGTGGTTTTCTAAATGACCTGACCCTTGTGGGTTTCTAAATGACCTGACACTCGTGTGTTTCTAAATGACCTGACCCTCATAGGTTTCTAAATGACCTGACCCTTGTGGGTTTCTAAATGACCTGACCCTCATAGGTTTCTAAATGACCTGACCCTTGTGGGTTTCTAAATGACCCTGACCCCCTTGTAGGTTTCTAAATTACCTGACCCTCGTAGGTTTCTAAATGACTTGACCCTCATGGGTTTCTAAATGACCTGATCCTCCTGGGTTTCTAAATGACCTGATCCTCCTAGGTTTCTAAATGACCTGACCCTTGTGGGTTTCTAAATGACCTGACCCTTGTGGGTTTCTAAATGACCT